AGATCTGTTGGCAGAGCTCTTGTTTTCCGCTTACCGCCACCTTCGTGTGCTTGTTTTTGTTGCTGATCAGCAACCAGTTGCAGGTTACCACGGGAATTGACCTATTCAGAACTTCAGCTGGATGCATAGGGTGGATCAACTGCGGGGCACTCACCTGAACTCTGATCGCGTTTTTGTACTTGTTCTGGAGTATGTTGCCGACCTGCCGCATAGTTGGTAATTGCATCCAACATGTCTTCAGATTGCACGAGCCCGAGACACCATGACACTTGCACTTTGGTGCCGTATGGCGTTTAAGAATCTGGGAACGAATGCTATATACGATGGCTGGAACACATGGAAGTAGCTATTGTAACAGCCAAAGCATTACCGCCTTTTATGGTCTTTCTTACCTTTCTTCCAGCTTCGTTGTTTCGCCGGTTCATTAGGGACCTGCCCTGGTCTTGGTCTCGTCGCGGGTCCTTCTCTTTTTCCCGGATATCAATGAAATTCCTGGAAATGAAGGAACATCAAGAGTGTACTGAGGGCCATAAAAAGTGCTCCGGCAAGAACAAAACAGGTGGTGACCAAACCCATTTTTCAGTCCAATTTTTCCTGACATCACAACAGGCCTCATGCAGTTTATGGGGCAAATGGCCTCTATAAAGTCGATGGCACACATGCGCTACTGTTGTTTTTCTTTTTGCACATTCCTCAAACTGTTCACACATTCTCCTTCTCATTCGTGGCAAAGAAGCGGAGTTGGTGGAGTTAAAAGTGGCGCATTACCACACGCACATATTCCGGGATCGAATCCCTATTGATGTCCGTTCATACCAACCGAACATTCTATCAACTAGTATCAACTGTGTGGTACCAGGCTCGTCTAGGACGATAAAAGCCTGATAAACTTGGGCACCGATTGGCCACGGAAAGTCATTGTATATAGGCCACATACGCATTCAAGACGTCACTAGGTTTCTGAGGTGAAGTCGAATGATGGAGTCCATCCCCAGGTATCGACTAACACTAAGAAACTTCGAACTTTGACCTTTTTCTTTAGTCATCTCGAAAACTAAAGTCTTTTTGCGAGTGCACCTAATCGACGAAAGGATAAAGGATAAAATAACTTTTTCCCTTAATCTGTCCCGTCTGAGGGACGCCCCGCATTCGATCCCCATTCAGAATCGTAACGGTGTATTGGATGCGCATGTGGCCCATACAACGACCTGCAGTGGCCAGCCGATGTACAAGTCAGTGCTTTTATCCTCCCAGACGAGTCTGATAAAAATGAACTGATCCCGTAGGGGTGGAAAGCTTGATTAGCTTAGGTGGGTATCGATCCGGGTTCGAGCTCTGAACCATGTATGTTGAGGCGCCACTGACCACTGCACCACCAAATTCAAAGGAAGTGGAGTAAAATGAAGGCTTACTCTCAACCCTCTCATCCTGACCCTCCTCCTCATAATATTTACACAGTTTTTTGCTCCATACGCTGTAGTTGGTAATCATCTTTTCGGATCCGAGAATAAGAGGTTGCCTCCGTTGGCAATTATCTGATCTCAGCAGTTTTTTGGTTGAGTTCTTGGAAAGCAATTACATGGATTGAATTCTTTACCAACTCGTACGAGTAGGGGTGTTCGTGCTTGTCTAAAAAGTGGCTTATAGTGGCTATCTGATGGATCTCCAATCACAGCCGAACGGCTGCTAAAAGAAAAGCTTTCAGTGGTTTCTGGTCTTCCATCATTCAAGAATAAGTAGGGGAAACAGCATTTCACTCAATCGGCTTTACGGAGATACAGTGCTGCTTTCAGCTTTGCCACTTTTGGATCTCCTCCGATTAGGTCATTCACTCATCATTCTCTCGTTAGTGCTAGCCAAAGCTTAGCTTGAGGGCCTTTCGAGGCCTCATCCCGTATCCCCAGGTGCTGCCAAAAACAAACTTGGCTCTTATCTTCCAAATAGGTTTGGATTAATATACAAAGTGTAATAGATGAACAAATAGTGCTCGAAACACATGCACTTCATCAACGACGTAATAGGGTCGTCAAGGGTCATCGGACTAGAGACGCCCTCCCTATGAGTATGTCCAAAGGGCGTTTTTTGAGCTATAACTGCTGCTCTTGTGAAGTAAGGGCTGTAGTCAACGGAAACGCCTACTTAAGTGTTCTCTATTGTGCAAAACCCAAAATCTCAGAGCTTGAAAAAAAGTCTTACTTAGCAAATCGATAGCCATAGTCAACGTTGTCGCCGCAACCTCCCCATGTCCAATCATCAGCTACATTTTTAGGTTTTGCTTCATCCGAACATCCACACGAAGCCAGCAAACCTAAGTTGTACCGATGCTTATGATCCTGGAACATTTGGCAAAACTTCTTAGCAGTCAGTGAGACAAACCTTGTTTACACCTCCTTCCAATCTCATGGGTAACACCGGCGGACAGGATAGCGTAAGTGAAAGCTGCTTCACGTGTCCCTGCAAAGAAAATTTCGTTTTTGATACTTGAAAGTCACTCTGACAGCACCATGCAATAAATGGAAGCTCACCCAATTTGTGTATTGGTCCAACAATTCCTGAACCATACGGCGTGGAGCAATTCCAGCGATTGGATTTGAATTGATACTGGCACTCCTGAATACAATAGGACATTTTATCAGGAGGAACAACATTTTCATCATGTTTGAGGGTTTCGCTA